AAACCGAATGGGACTCTTCCTAGAAACACTGACCATTGGAACACTCTGGCCACCCTCTCCAGATTCTCACAGGTTACAAACCCCAAGTCCTCCTTAGGGATCAAGTTCTCCCAGTGGAGCTCAGTTCACAAGCTTCTGTGCACACTGCTCTCTCTGTCTGGCTCTACCACTTACTGAAAAACAACAACAACAACAACAAAAAAAAACCTATTGCTGTTGAGTTGATTCTGACTCATAGCGACCCTACTGGACAGAGTACAACTGCCCCACAGGGTTTCCAAGGAGCGCCTGGTGGATTCGAACTGCCGACCTTTTGGTTAGCAGCCATGGCTCTTAACCACTACACCATCAGAGTTTCCCAACTACAGAAATCCAACCCAAAATCCGAGTTCCATCTCCTCCACAAAGACCTCAACACCTCCAGGCTGCATAGGATGGTTACAATCTAAGTCACACAATTCAGGACCTATTTATATAATACTATTTCTCCATTTATTTCATGCATGGCACACAGCTTCCCCCAAAGCCCAAGTGTCCCAGAAATATATTCACACACAGAATCTCAAAACTGAAAGCAAGCGTGAGTTATCCAATCCAAACGCCTACCCTTTACCAAGGTTCAGATGAATAATCTCTCCGCATCACTATACAATGGCTCCTCGTCTTCCCTTATTCCAGTCTAGAACTCACTCAGTTCTTCTCGCCAATCTCCAAATGTTGGATCACACTGGTTTCTCTCCTGTCATATTCTCCCATTCATTAACTTCCCTTTTAATGTGTCACTCAAAATGGCCACCACACTCATCCATGAAAAGAGAACCAGCAGTGAACATATTCTATTAATCCAATGTTTTCAGCACTGGCCTTTATGGTAGCCTCATCACACAATGACACCTCCCAGGATGACAATGGATCAGATCCATGTCTTTTGCTAGCAAGGGCAGCTTTCTAGTTAAAGCTCTTTCATCCTGCATCTAGATGCAACCTTCAAGGGAAACCTAGCCTCCTTAATTTCATCTTGTTACATCTGGTCCACGGAGATTTAACTGTGGATGCCAAATTTATCCACCTACTTATTTGCCTAACCCCGGCCTTGCATTCACCCACAAATTTAATAAGCATACGTTCTTATCCAAGTTGACGATAAGAATATCAAATGGACAAGTGTAGGGAGAGAGTCTGTAGCACGTCATTAAAACACTGCCCCCAGGTCCATGAGGGCAAAGGGAGTTGGAAGTCCACTGGCTCAACCAGCTGAGGATCCAGCCTTACCACTGACTGTTCACTTGGCACAGTAAAAAGAAGGCCTTTCATCTGTGTTGGCCTCACCTCAAAGTCTCAAGTGATCGGGACACCATTAAATCCCTTCTGCACTGGTACCAAGGGAACAGAGTCATACACTGGGCAAGGTGCATGTTAAAGAAATTGGAATGAGAAGGAATACACTCCCAAGGCTAGACAAGAAGCAAACTCCACTTTGGAGAAATTTTCTGATAAATACTTTACAATCTGGGAAACAGATTTTCATTCAACAACTAGCCTAGTATGCTTGCTTCCATTCTACTTCAAAAAAAAAAGGTACACTGGAGAGCCCAAACGCTACCACGTTAGTCTACCAGCTATGAACGGAAAGGTCCAGTGACATATGGAAATGGAGTCAGCAAACGATGTCATCTTTTAAATCATGCCCCATCCCTAAAATCCCCAGGTTAAGGCTCCATTGACTCCCCTGCACAGGAATCCTGCTAGGTGTCTTGTCCCCGGCTGAGCCAGGCACAATGCACTCGACTCACTGTTTGTGGCAGTAGCCAAGTCCCAATGTGTTTTGTAACTAAAACGGGAAAAGTTTTCTATAAAAAGATTCCACATCTCTCTTTAGAAAAACAAATCCACCAAAAAAGCTAGTTTATATTTAAATCTCCAACAGGCTTTTCAACTGCCGTCACTCCTAACTGTGGAGTCATTAATATGTCCCGCTCAGCGAGAAGTCTTTATACACAGCGCAGAAATACATGTGCAACATTGTGGGAGTAGGTGCGTTTAGGCACGTTCAAGTTATATGCACAATGGTATTCCAACAGGGCAAGCTGCCACTCAGAAACAGCTTTCCATGGCAGCTCAGCATCACCCAGCTCCCCCTTCCAATGGGCATCTGCAGTGACATTTACAAAAATGTCTACACATCAAATCACTCTGCAGGCTTAAGGTGCAAACAGTGTTAAGCACTATGTATGCAAATGCATTCCTGAGTTATTTTAAAGTCTACACCTTATAAAATTATATGATATAGTATCACTGCTGTATCAGGTAGCCATGGGCATTTATTTAGCAAAAGCACAGTTTCTACTACAATCTTTGAGTCAGGGTCACAGGAAACGCAGTCCAGTGGCTCATCCTCAGAGCAGAAAAGCTCTCTTCACCAAGAATGATTACCATGTGGCCCACATAGGAACGTGTATAAGATGTAAATATAAGATGTATGTATAAGATGCCTTTGGAATTCCACCCTACTTTTCCAAGTATCAAACCAATCAACCAACAAATTTTGTGCTTAGTGAGTATAGGGTAACTAATCACATTATATGGAATAATTAGTAGCAGTCTCCAGAATCCAGCCAGCCCATAAAACTATGTCCTTCTTATATTCTTATTTTAACTAATACCATTATTAATAATAAAACTACCATTCACGGAGTGTTCGCTCTAGGCTACACATTGTCCTTTTACGTGCACTTATTCCTCACAACGACCTCATGGTGCAGGTGAGATTTTTATTCCCAGTTCACAGGTAAGGAAAGCAACACTCAGAAGTCAAGACTCACAGTCTGCAGCAGAGCCAAGATCTAGAACCTGTCTTCCCAACATTTCAGTTTCCCATTTGCTTTTGCTGATAACTACTCATTTGTTTAAATGGGAAGTGTATTAGTTTCCCAGGGCTGCCAAAACAAGCACCACACTGTTCCAGAGGCCAGAGGTCCTAAATCAAGGTGTCAGCAGGGCTGGTTTCTTCTGCAGGCTCTGAGGGAGAATCTGCTCCATGCCTCTCTCCTAGCTTCTGGTGGTTGCCGGCAATCCTTGTGCCCCTTCGCATGGTGACACATCACTCCAATCTACATCTCCATCTTCACATGGCCTTCTCCTCTGTGTATGTGTCTCTAAACCGCCTTCTCTTTATAAGGACACTAGTCACTGGATACAGGGCTCACCCCAATCCAGCATGACTTCATCTTACCTTGATCATATCTGCAAAGACTCTATTTCCAAATAAGGTCACATATGCAGGTTCTGGGTAGACATGAATTTTGAGGAGAGTCTATGCAACCCACTCCATGAGGAAAGGGTACTCCTTTTCTCTTCCCGGTCCCTCCCAAGTCCCCCACTGCTACACTCTATAAATGCTCCTGTCCTGAGTGTGACAGAGAGGGGCAGATGCTGAGTCCTGCCTCTGACATATAACTTCCTTCAAACTTACACAAGTGCATGCACACTGAAACAAACAAGCCACAAATAACAATAAAAAAAACCCTGTTTTTAGATGGAATCTGTGTTTGCAGAATCTGCACAGTTTTGCAAGCATCTTCAAGTTAAGGTAAAGACTCCTGTGCTGTTAACAGTGGTCATCTATATCTAGAGTGTGAAATGAGGTGGCAGAAACTTTGGTCTTCTCACATTAGTAATGCTCTGGGTTGTCCTCTCATTTTCAGACTGTTATGATGTTCCAGTAAATGTCTCTGTTGCTATAGATGAGAATGTCATAAATGAAGACAGTGAAAAAGGTTACTAGTGAGCATCAATAAAGATTTCATGCTCTGGGCCAAAGTACTTTCCAACTTATACATAAAAACACCAATTTTTAATGAGAACATATTTCTTCAGTGTGTCTACTAAGGTAAGGAGCTTTCCCAAAGCAAGAAGGAGACAGGAACAAAGATGTCGACAGTATGGCAGTCCACACTACTGCCCCTTTAGGTTCTGGCCTGATGAACATGTGCCTGAGCCCTTCTCAGCAGTGACTGAGCCCAGTGGGCCTGCTTGCACCTCCACCTGCACGATGGTTAACTGCCCAGATCTAAGCCAGTCAGAGCAGGGCAAGCAGCCCGGGCAGCAGCATTCAACCAGAGGCTCCTCACTGGATGGTGGAGCACAGTCCACAGAGGTGCTTCCCCTCTGGTTAAAGGGCTTGGATTTGACAAAGACCCTGCTCTACCTCCCCATTAAATTCTTCGATATGACTGCCTGTTTCATTGAAGCAAAGGCACTCCCGCTTTGTTACCCAACAGCAAAGAAGACGCCAGGTGATTGTAGCACACAGCCCCAGGCACGTGCTCCATGCCACACCCTACAAGCAGCAAAGCCAACTCACTCTACTTTAAATCTGTGATTCAGCTGTGCTTCTTCTCTTAAATGCTGTATGTACAACTATACTGTCTGTCCCTCCATACACAGAGAGTCAGACGCACAGCTTCTGACCATTCTGACACCCTGCGGTAAGTGTGCAGCAGGAACCACATTATCAACAAACGCAAAATGAGGCACCAACAGAGGGTGGAGCTGGCTTATCTCAGGCAGACTTAACGGTTTCCCATCCTTCCTCACGCCAGTGCACTAATGCCTCATTGGCGACACAGACAAGCTTGTCCTTCTAGAAGTACGGTACCTCCACAGGGCAGCCTCACCTCCAGCAAGCTCAGAGCCTGAGGCGACCCTGAGGGGGTAAAAAGATGGCGCATCAGAGAAGACCTGCACTTGTTAGGGTAAACACAGACACTGACAAAGGAGGGATGAGAAAACAGGTCACACTGCAGTGCAGTGGTGGACAGGCCCTGAGATGAAAGGATCCAGAATCACCCATGTGGGAGAAAGCGGGCACTTCCCAACTCCTCTTTAACCCGAGGAGAGCATCTCTAGGGTCTCTGTACGTTGTGCAGCCCCAAAACCAGAAATCTAGGCATGGGGAAGCATGGCACAGTGGAAGGTGAGGCTCATGACAAGCATCTTACCTGACTTGCTCCCAGCTCTTGGTGGCCAAGTGCAGCACCCAGAGATCCTTATAGTGGTAAAACTGCTCCCCATCAGGAGAGGCAAACTCCCCTCCAAAGACCCACAGCTGTCCACCGCCCTGAGGCACCACGACGGCCTGCAAGAGAAAGACAACGGAGTCAGGGTACAGCCATGCACTGGCATGGCGGTGCCAGCTCTACATGTAAGTGACTCGGTTTGGGAGACAGAGACACAGGAGTCTGGGTAAAGGACCACCACTGTGAAGTAGAAAGCCTGAGCCCTACCTGGGCTTACATACGGCTCGGAGACAATGAAGTTCCAACTGGACAGAGTAAAAAGACATCAATGACCACCCAGGGCATTCTGCAGAGACCCCAGAAAGGCCACGCTGTAGGGCTAAACTAGCCCTAGAATAAAGCCATGCTTGACTTGCCCTAACAAAGTAAAAAGATGATCTGCAAGTAACTGAACTGCCTGCCCAGGATAAAATTTAATATTAGTTCATTAAAAGATGAAAACAAAACCCAGACACTCAAAAGACCACATTCAAAGTCCATCATCTAACCACACAAGGAGAAACTCAATCAACAGAGACAGACTTAGAAATGACAGAGATGACAGAATTAGCAAGGAAGGACTTTAAAGCAGTTATTATGGATATGTTCAAAGATTTAATGGAAAACATGAACACAACAAATCAAAAAAGGAAACTATCATCAAGAACCAAACAACTTCTAGAGCTGAAAAATATATGTAAAGTGAGAGATTCACTGTGAAAAATTCACAAGTTCAGAGCACATCCACTGAACTTAAAGGAGCGCAAGAGAAACTATCCAAAATGAAGCAGAGAGAGAAAAAAGGTTGGGGGGCGGACAGGAAAAGGACAGAGCCTCACTGACTCACTGGACAATATTAAACAGTCTAACATACATGTAACTGAACTCCCAGAAAAATCACAAAAAGGTACATCAAAATCAAATTGCTGAAAAATCAATGATAAAGAGAAAATCTTTTAAGCAGCTGGGGCAGGGGGAGTAGGGCATATTACATACAGGAGAAAAAAGATAAGAATGACCACTAACCCTCTAACCTCTCATTAGAAACAACATAAGCCAGAAAACAGAAGTTCTTGCAAGGGCTAAAACAACTGTCAACCTAGAATTCCATATCCAGGAAAAAAAAAAAAACCCTTCAAAATGAAGGCAAAATGAAAACATTTTCACCTAAACAAAAGCCGAAGAAATGTGTTCTGAGCAGATCTGCACTTCGAGAAACAGTACAGGAAGTTCTTGAGGCTGAAGGAAAACACCACCACACAGAAACTCAGATCTACACAAGGAATGACGTGCTCTGGCAATGGTAAATTTGTAACAAAATACAAACGGCTTTTTCTTTTTCTCATTTTAAAATTTCTTTAAAGAAATAATTGGCTGTTCAAAGCAAAATCAGTAACACTGCATTGTGGGGTTGATAATGCCTACAGAAACAAAATACATAACAACAATAGCACAACGGATGTAAAAAGAAAATGAAAGTATTCCATTATAGGGTTCTTACATTTTATGAGAAATAGTATATTATTATTTGAAGACAGGTTGTCCTAAGTTAAAGATGGATATCGTAAACTCGAAAAACCACTAAAACAAGACAACCAAAAAAAAAATGAGATTGCTAATGAAATAAAAATGGAATATTAAAGATAATCAATCCAAAAGAAGGCAGGGAAATAGAGAAAAAAGAATATAGGCAGATGGCACAAATAGAAAACAAACAGCAGGATGGTATATTTAAACTTAACGATGTCAATAATTACATTAATTAAATAATTACACTAATTAAAAAACAAAGCTTGTCAGACTATAAAAAACAGACCCAACTACAGTGGTGTTTACAAGAAATGCATTTTAAATATAAAGACATAAATAGGTTAAGAGGCAAAGGATGGGAAAAGATATACCATGCAAACACTAATTATAAGAAATCTGGGTGGTTATAGTCATATCAAGGAACCCTGATAGTGCAATGGGTAAGTGCTCGGCTGCTAAACCAAAGGTTGGCGGCTCAAACCCACCAGTGGCTCTGCAGAAGAAACACTTGGTGATCTGCTTCTGTGAAGATCACAGCAAAAAAAATCTGAGACAGTTCTATTCTGTCACATGGGGTTGCTATGAGTCAAAAATAGACTCAACAGCACCTAACAACAAGAACATATTCGTATCAAACAAAATTAACTGCAAAACAAGGAAGATCATCAGGGATAAGTCAGTACGGATATGGAAGTCTTGAACACTATCAACCTACCTAACCTAATGTAGGATACTTCATCCAACAATTAGAGAATATACATTCCTCTCAAATACACACAGAACAAGCAACAAGATAGATCATACGTTAGGCCATAATATCTCTCAATAAATTTAAAGGACTGAAATCATACAAAGTGTTCTTTCACAACAAGATTAAAATTATAAACAAATAACAAAAAAGACAGCTGAAAAATTCCCTAAATATTTTTAATTTAAATATACTTCTTAATATTGTAACTCATGGGTCAAAGAGGGCATCTAAAGACAAGTTAGATAATATTTCAATCTAAATGATAAAGAAAACACAATATATTAAAATCTGTAGGATGCAGCTAAAGTAGCAACTAGAGAAAAACTTATTTCTTTAACATATTAGAAAAGAAGATTTAAAACCAATGATCTAAGCTTCCACTTTAAAAAGCTAGAAAAAGAAAATTAAACCAAAGTAAATGGAAAGAAACAATAAAGAGTAGATATTATTGAAAAAGAAAAATGGATAAACAAGAGAGAGAGAAAAAAAATCAACAAACCCAACGTCAAGAGAAAAAAAACTATGGAAATACTTGAATGAAACACAACTTCTGTTTGGGATCTAGGTTTCAGATTTTTAAGTCAACAGGAACTTTTTCTACCTTCTTTCAAGAATGCTTTCAAAATTGCCAAAGGAGAAGTACTAGACAAATTATTTCCTAAATAGCTTCAAACCAGAACCATATGTGGCTTTTTAGATTCACAGGTAGAAGGGGCCTTCATCACCTAGCACAATCCTAGTCATCCAATTCAATTAGGAAATCCAAGTCAAAGAAACCAAGCTCGTGACTGGTCAGTCACAAGCTTACTGGACAAGGAGTAAGGTTAGACTAAAACTCACGTGTCCCTACTTCCAGTTCACATTTATACAAAACAATTCCCCAGAGAGAAACCCATAAATCTTACCAGTTAAACGAAGGTAAATATTGATAAGATAAATCTGTACTTCTTGCTAAATTATTATTCTTAAAATTATTTTTTAAGGAAATACGTAATAAAGAAAATCTTCACTTGCTGCCCCTAAAGACTTGAAAGAATGTGAATTTTAAGTAAATGAATTCCTCTGCTTTCTTCCCTTCCACAAAGAAAAAGCATGGCTATTGCACATCTGGTTATCACTTTTTTTCCTAGAGCTATGAACGATGTTTAAACTAAAACATCTTTACTAGTACTCTCTATGGAAAACTAGTTCACAAGCACGTATTAAAACGTACACCCAAGATGTCTTACTATTGCAAGCATACAGTTCACTCACCTTCAACAAAGTATGTTTTAAAATTCTAGTTATTTCAAATAATTTGCTCTATTCAATTTTTTAAACCAAATATTTATGGGTAAAAGTAATAATACAGCTCTATGTCACAATAACAAAAAAAAAGAAAGAAAACTTTTTTGGGTAAGAAAATAATGAATGAAAGGTCTAATTTAGAGGCTAACAATAGGACCTTAGTATTCAAACTCAAAGGTTTCAACCTAATGCAAGTTCAACGTTATTTCCAAATTATTTCTATTTAGTAGCTATCAAATGAATGAAAAGGAATACAGTCTACTAAGAAGGGAATCTAGTTCAGATCACAGATCAGTGCCCGATTTCTCCAAGAACTTATTTTATCAAGCTTATTATCTCATAATAAACATGCTAAAACCAGTTGCTGTAAAGTAGATTCTGACTCATAGTGACCCTATAGGACAGGGTAGAAATGCCAGATAGGGTTTCCAAGGCTGTAATCTTTATGGGAGTAAACTGTCAGGGCTTTTCTCCCATGGAGTGACTGGTGGGTTCGAAACACCAACCTTTTGGTTAGCAGCAGAGCACTTAATCACTGCGCTACCGGGGCTCCAAAATGTCCTGCAGTGTAAGGAAAAAAATGATTTGCTAAATGATCCCCATAAAATTCATGTTTTAAGTGAATTTTAGTTATCACTTTGGAAAACAAACTATCAAGTGAGTAGACACCTAGGAACCCAATGCCTTCACTTCCTCTTTTCTCACTCATGCCCTAACTCCCAACAGACCCACTCATGCCAGCTACTTGACCCTCAGCAGTCTAAGAAGAGGCAGTGTCTGTCTATTCTCCCAGGGAAGGATACTGAGAATAGAATGCCGAAGCCTACATGAGTCACTCAGTCCCACGTCCAAAGAAAGCGAGACCCTGGCTTTCTTCCACTGGGCTGTATTCACTTTAGAAAATGCCATGTAAACTCTCAAATTACACACCAAAATAAATTTCACCCCCCAAAAACCCAGGGCCTAGGAGAAAAGAAAGACTAACAGGAGTATGTGTAACCTTTCTCTTTCCCCTCCTTCTGCCTGCTAATTGACCAAAGATAAAGAACACAACTTCTAACATCGTATTCATTAAATAAGTCCATAATGCGGGAACTTTATGTCCTGCTGAGTTTACTGCAGTAGAATTTGAACTATAACGATCTACAGGCAAAAGACTTTACAACTGATGTTCCATTTCCCATCTCTCTGATTCACTGCGAACTCAGACTGCAAACAGCAAGACTACCTCAACGACAAGGACATCACTAAGCCTCTGACTAATAAAGCCTCTAGAAGGCATTAGAGCCTGCTGAGATCCTGCCGAAATAACCAAATTAAAAAATCTCAAGACATTTATGACATGAATCCTTCAAGAATGCAGCTAATCACTATGATTAAAATGGTTAAGACAATAAACACAAAAGCAGCACGAGGTCTGCATTCCATGACACAGAACAGAAGAGAGTGTTTCAAGAAAAGGGATACAACAGTGAACGAGAAGGACAAAGTGCCTGTCCTCGTGGAGCTTGCAGGACATCTAAAACCAGGACCTCCCTTCCCTGGATATGACTACTAGAAGGAACCTCTCCTGTATAAGTAGGATGCTACCACCACGTTACTTGAATGCTACTTCCTCGTATGCCCTGCTTATGACACAGCTCATTCTAAAAGAATTATCTTCCTTAGACCATTTACATTTGTCTTTGAACAGTCCATTTTCTCGTTTCCATCTCTCTAGCCACCAGATCATGGGCTATGTAACCCTCTTTCCACTCAAACGGGGGCATGGGGTGCACATTTTGCTGTGTGGCTATTACATACCAGGCACTAGACATTTTTTTCCTGGATTATTGCATATAATCTTCACACAACTTGGAGGCAGAGGTGTTCATCTCCCCAGTTTATAGATGAAGAAACTGACATGCAAAGAAGTTTTGTAACTAGCCCAAGTAGCAAGCAGCAGAGCTGGGATGATCTGCAAGGCCTGGCCTCTTTGTACCACACTCCTCTCTTTTATAAGCCCCACAGCTGATAGCAGAATTCCCACAAGCAAAGCCCCAGCAGGAAAAGATGGGAGAAACCTGAAGGTCCATCCAGAAAATTACCTGGTGAGCGCAGCGCCGGGGAGGTGGATTAGGGATTTCAACTTTAGTCCATGTACCCTTTCTGATATTGTAGGTATAAAGCTCATTGTACAAAAACGTCTGCAGAAAGGAGGAAGAATTTTAGTGTTCTGATGGCATGCTTCCATTCAAGTGACAGTAAATGGAAAGAATACCCCCCAACTATTAGATTACCCTGGGAAACTTGTTTCCTAAAGCAACGTAAATCACCCCAATACAGGGGGCTGTGCAACAGATTTCCCAGGACCCTTTAGGATGACAACACAAAGAAAAAGGCCGTCTGTCCACCAATGCATGTTAATATCTAAGCTGCTGAGATCCTTTGCCACTCAGTAAAATTCTTCCTCCTCCTAATTCAGGCCTAGTTTTTAAGTGGATGGAAATTCACAGATGAAGACGGAAGAGCGAAGTCAAGTTCACAGGGTTCCTCTCAGGTTGGAGTGAATATGGGCGCCTGCTTTTGTTAACTGCTTCATACAGTTACATTTTCTGAACATACAGAGAAAACACAGGTCTTTCTGGATTGCTCAAAAATAACACTTTGCTCTACAACTCATCAGCACTTTCCATATTCAAGACAATTCTGAAAACTGTGAATTTTAATTTTGGAAAGCCTATCACGAGGAAGAACAGAGGGCATGTAGGATCGACTGTCAATGGGTGCAGGCTAAGCTCCAGCAGGCAGTAACAGTGGGAGAGCTGATCGGGGGAACAAGGACAGAGGGCAGGTACAGTTGAGAGTCAAAAGAGTGATGAACCCCTCAATGTTGGTGCAATCACAGTCACTTCATCCCTAATGGAGCCTGGGTGACTTGTCAGGGACAACGTCTCCCATCAGTCCCGACCACTCAGGAGGCGAGACATGTAATAAGGGAGTTACAGGACCAGTGCATATCTGACATCAACGCTTTAAATGGATTTTATGCCAAACAGACCCACGGAAATTGGGGGGAAAGAATAAATATATACTTTACTTTTTTGCCATTGAAATATTCACCTCCAAAAAGAATCAACTCATCTTTCTCAGGATGAGCGGACAGCGATGCGTTTAACCTACAAGAGACGTAAGCAGTAGGTCAGCAAAGAATTGAAGTGCAAGCAACTCGTTCCTGATGCCCAGTCGGAGAGCCTGCCTCCATTCTGCCGGAATGCTCTATCACCAGGCCTCACCTTTCTAACGGTCCATGAAGGAAAGGACACAAATTAAATTCAGGACTGTGACCACTGGTTCACATTCCCAGGGCAGCCTGGGTCTGGGTGACCTTTCATATAACCTGGTTTACAAATCATGTGATAGTAAGAAGGGTGGGTCTAGATGCTCCTATTTATAAGCCAGATTTTCTGGAACTGCCCTATTTTAAGGGTCTATCTTGTTAAATCACAATCAAAACTGTTCTAAAGAATCCAGCATTGAAGCATTTCAACACATTTCCCAGACAGCTTTCATCTGGAAAATGGAACGATTCTTCTACTTATTTCACACGTAAGGACAAGAGAATAGCTATACAGAAATTATAAATACATTCTGACCACTTCAGTAGATAGTAATGAAAAATACTACGAGAGAGGGCACATCACCAGAAAATACCACTCTTTAAAAATCACCGACAAGTGGTGTTCCCCAAGGTGTGTTCCATTTTACCCTGATTCTAAAAGATGCGTCTCAAAGGAAAACCAGTTTTAAGGTCAAATAGTTTCAAGGTCAAATCTGAAAACTCTACTTCCCTCTTAGAATTTACTGAGCACAGAAACATTTTATAGACTAAGAAATCTTACAGTAAAGAAACCAGTGTTTCCCAAAGTTCTCTGACCCTGAATCTTTTTTTTCACCTAACATCTATTAATTTCCTGTGGAAAAGTACTGAATCAATTTGGGAAACAACAATCTATGCTGGATCCAAAATATTGAAACATTGCTGGTATACACAACTAACCACACACCCCACCTTTACTAAAGTACCGCAGAACATACAGGTATCACAAAGCTCTGATGCAACTAGATGTCTTCTCCTTTCTTCCCAGTTAAGTTACATCTGAGCCAATACTTGGGTTTAAACACACTTAACATCACCAAAACCAAACCCATTGCCCTCCAGTCAATTCCAACTCATAGCGACCTTATAGGACAGAGCAGAACTGCCCTAGAGAGTTTCCAAGGAGCAGCTGGTGGATTCAAACTGCCGACCTTTTGGTTAGCAGCTGAGCTCTTATCCACTGTGCCACCAGGGCTCCCATACTTAACAACAATGGGCAATTTTCATGGTTTGTGTCTCTTTTTCATAATATGATCAAGAGTTATGAGGTACGAAGTTACTAAAGCTACCCAGTTAAAAGGTCTTACTCTCATTATGTCTCAGTTTCAACAACTGCTCCCTTATATCAGGAAGCATTTCTAGCTGACTCAGTGAGTTGCAAACATTTTAAATTATATCCTCACGTGAAATATGACTTTTGGGACAATACTACTTTAAGAAAAGTTCTAAAACACCATCCAGGAAAAAAAAAAAAACTACGTTCAAAGTGGATTCCCTACACAGTGCTGGTGTACTTCCCTTCAACCTGAAGGTAGGTTTGATGTACTTCTTGCATTTCCAGACCACTTTTCCTCCCTGTTTATCTCCCCAGCCTAATTTCCCACCCACCTCCTCTCTAAGCCACCCTGGCTTCCTCAGCTCCTTAATGCCTTAAAGACCTCCAAGATTTGTGTGCTTCAGGAATTCAAATGAAAATGTATTTTTAAAACATCTACGAAGTATAGTCTAGAAATATAATTTGTCTTGCTCCAACAATAACATGCCGGTCCTGTGGGAAAAATAAAACCAGATTACTAACGGAATTTACAAGATGAAGAGGAAGGACCTCCAACTTTGGGAGAGGCTCTGGTGCTAATTAAGCTCCTCCTCACCCCTTAACAGGTGATGGTTAGATCCACAGTGTCTGAGATTGGTGGGATTCCAGCACCAGGGCCACAATTTGCACCCCACTATAGCAAAGGGATAGGAGGCCTGGTGGTGCAGTGGTTAAAGCACTTGGCTACTAACCAAAAGGTCGGAAGTTTGAACCTACGAGCACCTCCAAGGGAGAAAGATGTGGTAGTCTGCTTCCATAAAGATTACAGCCTTAGAAACCCTATGGGGCAGTTCTATTCTATCCTATACGGTCGCTATGAGTCTGATTCAACTGGACAGCAAGGAGTTTACAGCAAAGGGAGCACAGTAGCAGCTTCCTCCTGAAGTTCAAGATCCTAGGCTTCCAAAGACTCCTGACATTGCTATTAAGGATGACTCTTACAAATTTGGAGTCCCTGGGTGGTGCAAATGGTGAACGTGCTCAGCTGCTAACTGAAAGGTTGGAGGTTCGAGTCCACCTGGAGGTGCTTTGAAGAAAGGCCTAGTGATCTACTTCTGAAAACCCAACCATTGGAAACCCTATGGAGCACAGCTCTACTATGACACATGCGGGATTGCCATGAGTTGGATCCAACTTGATGGCAACTGTTTTTTTTCCTTACAAATTTAATCTCATTCTGAAGGAAACAAAATCGATCGCTTCTTAACTAAATAAAAGTCCCAGGCGCCTGTGAGGTTAACACATTTCCTTTTCTCCGAATGATAGTGAGCTTTTCTATGCAAGTCACTTGGCCTTTCCTAAGTTCAAAACTCCATGCAGCCAGTCTATGGTCTCTCCTTGGTTAATAGCAAGTACAGGAATCACAGAACCCAAACCTAATTATAAAACAGCCAGAATTCTGAAGTAGAGAGACCAAGAAGTAACATACAGGAATAAGGAGTCAGGTTAAGAGCAAAGTCTATTCATTTCAGCACACTCCACGAATGTTTGAAACCCTCCAAAAGACTGGGTTTTGGTCATAACTTACAAATTAATTTAAAATGGCGTATACACAATTCATGTTCAACAATAACCACACTTTTCCCATGAGAATTTAAAATGTAGCAAAAAGCTATCACAATTTTAAGTTTTCCACCAGGAAATTTACACATTTGAAGTACTTTTTAAAAGCCCATTGGGACAACATTTTTGTTCCCAATGCTGTGACCAGCTAGAGCTTTAAAACCTGGGCACAATTTCCCCCTGATGAGCAGAAGGCTGGAGACTTAATCCTCATGCTTCTACATGATAATAAACCATGTAGTCTTGCTCTAGTTCTTCAGAAGAAATGAAAAAAAGGTTATGTGGGGGCTGATTCTGCACAGACTTTAATGACTGAAATGCCCCATGAACTGGTCATTTATGAAAACAGGGTCTGAGGGTGATTTTACAGCACTGTTCCAAGTTACACAAGTGAACTGTCAGAAACTAAAATGAAACGAATCCTCACTTCCTTACCTTGGAGAAGGTGGGGGACACAGTGTTTCTACAATCTGAGTCTTTTTAGCATCTAGTGTCTGGAAGTGGGCAATCAGAGCTTCAAGGTCTTCCTAAAGGAAAGTAGCAGTCAATGTGAGACATTTTCTTCTTTACCCATAACATCCATGACATAATCCAGAGCATGCAACGGTTTCCCCACTCTGTCAATCTGATCTTATGAGCTTCCAATCGCATTCATGAAGTATAACATACCCCCTCCTCCACCCACTTGAAATACACAGAATTTGGCACATTCAAAAATACTCAGGGCTTGACCTTAAACGGAGTTTTTTAGAGGTCTAGACACAGGCACATTCCACATATTATTGCATTCCAACTCTCCCTCCTCCCATCACCCCCTGAAGGGCCTTCCACTTAGACAAGCCCACCCTGAAGTCACTGCTAATTCTTTAGACAACCTCTCCTAAGCCCAGTCCTGGCCTGCACACCACTCTATTTTGTGTTCTGTATAGCAGGGTTTGATAGTTTTCTTGCTCATGTTTTCTTTTTCCACCCTTCATCCTCCAAATAAAGGTCCAAGAGAGCATGACTGTCTTGTTTAGTGCAATGCCTGCACAACAGGGCTCAGTAAATGTCTGTGCAGTCAATCAGCGTGTGAAGGCTCTCTACTATACAACAGCAGACACCGGTTTAGAAGTCCCAATGCTGGAATCCAGTTCCCTATCCCCAGTCCTTCCTGCTCCCTTGTATTTATTGGTGCCCACCCGCACCCCCCACCCCCACCCCACGTGATTCGTGACCTGTCATTGGGAAAGTCCCTTTCCATTCTTAACTCTTACTTCCTCACATTGAGACCTGGAAGCTCCCCACCTCCGCCCCCACTCTTCTCCTCCATCTGATTTCCCTTCCCTGAAGGTAGGGTAGGTGTATTTCTTGCACTTTCAGACCACGTTTCCTCCCTTAGTATCCCTCCCTCATTTCCCATCCAACCCCTCACCCTCTAAGATCCCCTGGCTTCCTCAGCTACTTTAATCAAACACTCCATTCCCTGGGCCTGAACAACCTTATTCTCTCCAACTGCATCCCATTCCCAGAACTACCTTCACCCACCCTTCAGCCCAGTGTAAAGTCATTTCCCCAGAGCCAGCGAAGGTTAGATGCACTCACAGCTGACTCACAGGCATGCTGCCTTCATTATTTTTAAATGTATCACGCAATACTTAAGACCTCCAAACAGGTACAAAAATGAATTCAAGGTACTCCCGTGTACCCAACCCCCAACTCTGGAAATAAAGCATTACTGATACAGTTGATGCACCCATCACCCCCCAAGGTAACCACTATCTGGAATTTGATGCGCAAACATTTCTTTATACTCTTACTACATAGGTACGCATTCCTAAACAATCTATGTTATTGTTTTAGACTTTTAAATTTCACACTAATGGTTCCATACTGTATATTCTTTTGCAACTTGTTTTTTTGCTCAACAATGTTGAACAACTTGATACATGACAACACTAGGTCCATTCATTTTCACTGTGGCACACTTATGACTCAACCACATCCATTCTCCTTCCAATGAACAATTTTGTGTTTATGTAAACAGTACTATTATGGCTCTCCCTGTGCCCATCTCCTGTGTAGATCAGTTTCTGCAGCATACTTCCTTAGGCATCTTAACGGTCAGATTACAGGTAAAGACACATTAGATCCCAAAGTTGTCCTATCCCTTTAAACCCTCCCCAGTAGTCCACATGGTGCCCATCACCCAGTACTTCCATGTGGGCGATCATTTCATGGTTGTCCTGCTGGCACCACACCCCTCCTCATGAGGGACATTCACTGGGTACTCCAAACACATTTACTGAGTGACTGGAACTTCAGAGAGACCTGGGATAGATGAGTACTGGGGTCAGTTAGGTCAGAGCCCCTCGCTGCTGGTGCAGTTTGTCCCTTAGAAATGGTCTCCGTTATGGCAGACAGAAGAGGGCGAGGTGGGGAAGAAATGGACTGGAGTCAGGAGGACCAGGTCTGCAGGGAAAGCTGCTTGTCAGTGCTGGGGGACAGCTGGCGTGGACGTCTACCAGGCCAGGCTATGCCCGTCTGCAGCTATGCCATTGGCCACTAACCCTCCTTATACAGGGACCCTTTTGATAAGGAGCCCTCACTTTGTTTCTGTGTTGGGGGCAGGCTTTGATGGTATTTTCTGAACACATATGGTAAACTGAGGCACAATCACAGTAGGCAGATAATGCATTCGTTAGAAGCAGAGGATCTGGAGTTGGGTAATCCAGGTTCAAACCCCATCTCTTGCCCTTCTTGCCAATTAATCCAGTAGGCCCCCACGTGCCTCACATATTGAGAGAATTCTCAGCGGACAAAATAACATCTGTGAGCTAGGCAAGGTGCACTCCTGCATGGCTCTAAGGCAGGACTCTCACACTTGTCTGAGCATCATAATCACTGGGCTGGGGGCAGGGTGGGGTGGGGTGGGGTCTGGAGCCTAGTCCGTGAAAGCCTCTCCAAGGTGACAACAGCTGGCAGACACAAGGAATCCACTCATGAGAAGAGTGTGGTTGCGGTAGGGGGAACAACCATGAGTAGAAAGAATGTGGTATATTTGAGATCCTAGAATAAAGTCAGTGTGGCCAGAGGGGAGATGACTGGGGGTGGTGGTCGGCGGGGGGAGTAGATGAGGTAGACAGGCCAGGTCATGCAGGGTCTTTTAAGACAGTATTCAGACTTCAACAGAGGAACATGTCTGTGAAGACAGCTAAACAAAGATGTCAGGTGATGCAATACATGAATCTTGTGGAAAGCAGGATTCTAAGATGTCCCCAAGACTCGCGACCGTGTAATGCCCAAGACAGTGAATATGGTGGGATATTAAATAACATAGTTGACTTTAAGAAAGGGAGATGATACTTGGTGGACCTGACCTAATCAGGCGCCTCCTTAAAAGGAACTGGGTGCTTCCTAAACAAAGAAATTGGAAGTGTAAGAGGGATTCCATGTGAGGGAGAGTCTCCATTCCTGGCTTTGAAGAGGGAGGGGGCCGCGAGGCAAGGAATGCAGGCGGCCTCTAGAAGCTGAGAGCAGCCCTGGCTGACAGCCAGCAAAGAAACGAGAACCTCAGACCTACAACCACAAGAAACTGAACTCTGCCAACACCCTGAATGAGCTGAGAAAAGGACCCCGAGCCTCAGATGACTGAGAAGAAAATGGATGATGCATTGATTTAGGTCTGTGAGACCATAAGCAGAGAACTCAGTCATGTCATGCCAGACCTCTGCAGATTCTGCTCTCAACAAGAGAAAAGAGTAGTGATGGTTACCATCAACTGTTATGGAAAGGCCTACAGTTGCAGGTTTTTTTTCACTTAGTCTCACTTGAGGCTCATCCTTCAGGGTGACTGTGAAGATTACTTATCCTTTTTTAAAGATGAAAGAAGGGAGGCTCAAGAAAATTAAGGTCCTTACTCCCACATCACACATCTTCCAAGAGGCGGGCCCAGCTCTGCTTACACTAAACCCCAGCTTCATCCACCACCCTGCCGCAATCTACTGGGAGAGGAAGAGGACACTACAAAAAAGCACAGAAACGGCCGCGACATCATATGAAGAAGTGCAAGCACTTAAAAAGAGGGCCGCTTCTTTGCTTTTAGGGGTTGTGAGGGCTCAAAGAAGGTCGAGTAAACATCGAAGACGACAGGGGCACGCGTGGACTGCTCGGGATGGAAGCGGGCATTCTTTACATAGCTTGCACAAGCGCCGCGCTGGACCCAATGTTTTCATTTCATCCGTGAGACTCTCCCATGAGACAAGCGTCGCTGCTTCTTCCGTCTTGCAGACGAGGAAACTGAGTCCCGCAAGGTTGAAGTGACTTGGCCACGGCCACACGGCCGGAGCTGGTCGGGCCGCTAGAGAACCGCGTATGGCCGGCCGCGGGCGTCACTCACCTCCTCCTTGCGCGAGCGCTTGGACACCTTCTTCTCCATCTTGGCGGCCGTCTTCTCGGCTCCGCGGCCCTTCTTCTCTTTCTTGCCCTTCTTGCCCATCTCGCCAGGTCTGAGCGAAGGTGCGCTAAACCCCCGCCGGAAATAAGTGATCGCGCGGGAGGGGGCCGGCGCCTGGTTAACGCGTCATTTCCGGTACCGTCCCGTCCCGCGAACCCGCCTCTGGGCAAAGGCTGAGAGAGAAAGGACGGTAGGCTACCCTGTACCGGCCCACGACTTCAGGGTCCCACTTACCAATGTCTTTGGAGAAGAGCTTGGGGCCTTTGCGCTCTGGGTAAGGTGTGTCCAAGGAGACAAAGGCTGTCCAGACCTGAAAATAGCTGGGCACTTGCCCCTCTCACTGTGTGTTCCCCGTTCACACCGCCCTGCCCCTCCTGGCTTGGCCTGATGCGATGGATGATTCTTAAACTGTCCTAGATGGCGGGGCATCGGTAGCGTGTAAGGGCACCCGCCGTGGAAGGAGGTGGCCACATTCGAATGCCAGCTCAGTATTTACTGGCGCTGTAAATTGAGGCAAATTGCTTAACCCGCTAGAGTTCCATTGTTTTTTTTCACTTAGTCCTACGTGAGGCACACCCTTCAGGGTGGCTGTGAGGATTATTTATTCTCTTTTAAAGATGAGAGAAGTGAGGCTTAGGAAAATTAAGGCCCTTACTCCCAGATGACACATCTTGCAAGAGGTGGGCCCACCTCCCCCTTACACTAAACTCTAGTCTCTTCCACCACCACCTGTCTCAGTCTAGTGGGAGAGGAAGAGGACAGAACAAAAGATCACAGGAACTGCTGTGACACCAATTTTGAACTGTAGGTTAAACACTTTTTCTACCTTGGACCCTTTTGAAAATCAAAGGGGTGCTATGGCTTAACTCCCTGGAAAAATATTCACACAATTAAAAAAATTGCAGACACTAGGTTAAGACAGCCACTTTTCCCAGTCCAGATAAAACGTGCCAGGTACTGAGTTTAGAGTTAAGACTATTGCGCTAAATGAGAAAAACAGCTCTTGCCATTCTACTGTCTATGTGACTTTCCAAAAGGTCCTAAGATAGAGGACATTTGTTTCTTCATCAGGAGAAAATGTTGTTGTTGGGTGCTGTTGAGTTGGTTCCAACTCATAGCGACCCTATGTACAAAAGAACAAAACACTGCCCTGTCCTGCGCCACCCTCACAATCATTGCTGTGTGTGAACCCATCGTTGCAGCCACTGTGTCAATCCATCTTTTTCATAGTCTTCCTCTTATTCACAGACTTTCTACTTTACCAAGCATAGTGTCCTCCAGGGACTGGTCCCTCCTGATAACATGTCCAAAGTACAAGAGACGAAGTCTTGCCGTCCTCGCTTCTGAAAAGCATTCTGGCTGTACCTCATCCAAAACAGATTTGTTTGTTCTTCTGGCAGTCTATGGTATATTCAATATTCTTTGCCAACACTGTAACTCAAATGCATCAATTCTTCTTCAGTCTTATTCATTGTTCAGTTTTCCCATACATATGAGGTGATTGAAAATACCCTGGCTTGAGTCAGGCACACCTTAGTCCTCAAAGTGACATCTTTGCTTTTTAGCACTTTAAAAAGCTCTTTTGCAGCAGATTTGCCCAATGTAATACGTCGTTTGATTTTTTGACTGCTACTTCCATGGGCATTGATTGTGGATTGAAGAAAAATGAAATCCTTGACAACTTCAATCTTTACTCCATTTATCATGATGTT